GGAGGGGAGGGGAGGGGAGGGGAGGGGGGAAAGTGGAGGAGGGGGCGGTGGCCCTGGCTGGTGTTCCCCTCCCCGACCCGTCCTGCTGTGGCCTCAGCTCCAGGTCTCTGTCCCTTTCCCATCGCTCTGAGTAGACATTAGCCCAACTCAACCTCCCTGATGGCCCTGGGTGTTCAGGAGCATTTGCCTACTCCCACCCTCCATCCCTGTGCCCTGTGGACCATCAGAGACCTCCAGGGTTCATTTTAGCTTGTCTTGTCCCTCTGTCCTCCCACAGCAAGGTTTCAGGGCAGTCCTGGACTGTTCCTGCATGCTGGACCACGGCACAGGGTGTGTGTGTGGGTGGGTGTGTGTCTGTGTGTGTGTGTAGCACGCATGCTCCTAAGATTCTAGTCCATTGTCATTGCTAGTCCATGCTGGTCCTGCCCTCGCCATTTGTTTAGTTAGTTAGTTAGTTCTATGTTCCCTTTATCCCCACATTCCATTCTCACTTCCTGTGGGAATAGTGGGACTGCTGCGTCCCAGGTATGTGAACACTTGAGTTGCATAAGTAGCGCCAGGTGGCCTTCCCCAACGGCTGCACCAGCCCACCCCACAGCCCAGCTGCTCTTCCAACTCACTCCAGCCCCACATGCCCCCAAGATGTGGCATTAGCAGCTTTGGAATGTTCGCCAGTCGAATTGGTATAAAGTTGTTCTAAATGGCGTCTCTCATTACTAAGATTTTGCATCAGCTCTTCATGTGCTCCTTGGATTTTGTTTTCCTCTTCTGGGAACTGCCTCTTCATATCTTGACCATTTTCTAGTTGATTTGCTGCCTACTTCCTGTTGATTTGCAGGAGTTCTTCGTTTATTCGAGATTTTAGTGTTTTGGCTTCAAACAAATACCTTCTCCGATTCTGTCCACCCTCTCTCTTTACTTTGTCCTAGGTGTCTTTCATCAAATAGTGTCGTCAAATTCATCAGGAGGCTTTTGGGGGGGAGGGGGCGGTGGAGTGGTTGTGTTTTGTGCTTTCAAAACTTTGTTTAAAAGTCTTTTATTACTGGGGACTTCCCTGGTGGCTCAGTGGTTAAGAATCCGCCTGCCAATGCAGGGGACACAGGTTCGAGCCCTGGTCTGGGAAGATCCCACATGCCGCGGGCAACCAAGCCCATGCGCCACAACTACTGAGCCTGTGCCCTAGAGCCCATGAGCCACAACTACTGAGCCCACGTGCCACAGCTACTGAAGCCCACGCACCTAGAGCCCGTGCTCCACAACAAGAGAAGCCACCGCAATGAGAAGCCCACACACCGCAACGAAGGGTAGTCCCCGCTCACCACAACTAGAGAAAAGCCTGTGCACAGCAATGAAGACCCAACGCAGCCAAAAATAAATTTAAAAAAAAGTCTTTTATTGCTGCATGTTTTAATGATAGGAGAGAATATATGGAACATTTATACCTATATAACTTATAAGAGGCAATATTTTCTAGTTAGGTAGCATAGCTTGGGGATTAATAATAAAAACAAAAACAAAAAGTCTTTAATTACTGCCCTGAATCACAACAAATGGCTCCCATGCTGTCTTCTATTAACTTTTTCAAGTCACTTTCACATTCACACCATTAATCCATCTAGAGGCCACCTTGCACGTGCTGTCAGGTAGGAATCCACTTCCCCAACACCATCTACTGAACATTTTGACCTACATGTTAAGCTCCTGAAGGTATTGGGTCTGCCTGTCAGTTCTCTATTCTCTTCTGTGTCTGTCTGTTCCTGCACCAGTACCATAATTGTTTTTTATTGCTACGGTCTTATAAATGTGGTCGGGAAAAATCACACCCTCCTTCCTCCTCCCCCCTCCCCTCCCCCCTTTCCTCCCCCTCCCTCCTCCTCCTCCACTTCCTCTTCCTCCTTCTTTGAAGTTTTTCTTAGCTGTTTATGGATCTTTATTCATCGCTAAAGATGCTACTGTGAATTTATCAAATTTCTCCAAAAACTCCAACTGGAATTTTGATTAGGACTGCATCACATTTAGAGATGAATTTGGAGAGAACTCACATCTTTATAACTTTGTCATCCTACCCTACATTATAATCTGTCTACTTATTCAGATTCTCTTCTATATCCTTTATTAAAATTTTCTACCAAGAGGTTTTACATATCCTTATATGTTACAGATACTTTGTATCTAGCAATGTATCTAAGTTCCGTTTTTTATTTTTTTATTATTTTTATTTTTATTATTTTTTTGCGGTACGCGGGCCTCTCCCGTTGCGGAGCACAGGCTCCGGGCGTGCGGGCTCAGCGGCCATGGCTCACGGGCCCAGCCGCTCCGCGGCACGTGGAATCCTCCCGGACCGGGGCACGAACCCGTGTCCCCTAGCATTGGCAGGCGGACTCTCAACCACTGCGCCACCAGGGAAGCCCTAAGATCCGTTTTTTCATTGGGTATTAGAGATGCAGAGAAATTCTAGAAATACTACTGATTTTGTAGGTTTCTATCTAGCAATGTTGCTGAAATCTTATTGATGCTAATAGTCTGTTGATTCCAAAGGGCCTTCTAAATGAATGCTCACATCATATGCAAATAATGATAATTCTGCTTCAGATCTTAAAGAGATACGTGAGCATGAATGAAGAAAGGAATGCCTTAACCTAACCCCCATTTCTCTCATGGCTTGGGGTGGCCTCTCCCCTGGTCAGGGTGTCTGGGCTGGGGTTAAGGGCCATTATGTACAACGTTTGCTGTGAATTTTTGGCATGGAAGCCGCACGAGTTCAAGAAGTTCCGTTCTATTCCTGGTTTAGTAAGAATTTGTATCATAAGTAAATAACAAATCTTTTTTTTTTAAGAGACATTATTATTAT